GTCCACCTAAGCCATTGTTCGTATTATTAAACTCAGCAAGCCAGGGTAAGGCAAAAATGGAGAATCTTTGGAGTTTTTACTTATTTATTTCAAATGGCAGGCGTCTTGATGGTTATCATTAGCCCTTTAGTTGACTTCAGGATTCACAGAGGGGGGGGGGGAGAGCAACATCAAAGTGAAAACGTCGAAAGGGGGGGGCGACAGAAGAGTGTTTCAAAGATGTAAAAGAGACGGACACAAAGGCTGAGAAAAGGTAAGATGAGTACTGTGTAAGGGGTCGAATATGACGTACAGTCTGGCCATGGTAGTTTGAAGTGAGAAGTCAACTGCCAGTTAATAGACTTTTTTGCCATATAGGTATACGTTGCCCATGGTTCACCACTTGGAGGTAAGTCTATCGCACATCCCCGCTTTGGAGTATAAGGAATAACAAAACAGCAGAATATGGCCACAGGAAAGTGGCACCTCTAAGAGGCGGAAATTAGTCGCAATTTCATTGAAAGCCTCCGTAATCCACAATGCTACATGACGAATTGTTTAATTCAGCTAATTGGACAACCATCCATAATCCTTCTATCCAATAGTCTAGGTACCTAACACATTGGTGAAATCTTTCATGATTTGATTACTTCTTTCTATTTGAACCCATTCTACTTGCCAATGAAATTAGTATTAAATTATCAGCATCTATCCTTTTAGGAAAGCGTTTCGAATGCCCGTCTTTGACAGGAACTGATATAATGGAATACCTCTGATGTTTTTGGACGTTTTACTCACTGAATGTGCACCGATAAGAATAGAACCCATGATCCCTGAGATGATGAAAGTGTACGGTGATTTATTGAGCCTATGTTGAGGTTTTCGCATTCTGATATCTCTCTCTCTTGACCACTTTTGATGTGTGCGACCTGTTATTCCATGAATTGATGTGCACCGAAGAATGGCAAAGCCGTGACTTCTGAAACACACACATTCACGTAGATATAAGCAGAACATCTAATCCTATTTAGAGTAAGGCAAAAATAATGATAAATCGGAGAATCTTTTTTTCATTCGATACTCTACTGCACCGAAAATTGATCGTTTATGCGTACTAAATTTAAAAAAACTACCTTTAGCTTTGTGGAGTTATGTTTATCTGGAGGGAGAGTTCAATTCCGTCTAGTGGGAGCATATAGTGATATATCTAATTACTTTCAGCCGTCTATTAAAATTATTTCTCATATTTTTTTCAGAACGGAAATGCTTATACCTAATAGGATGACTCTCTGATAGATTATGCTTTAATCACTTAAATTTTTAGGATTTGAGTGTCCTCTTAGGAACTCTGTTCTGTCTAAAATGCCATTTTAGCCTCACCCACTTGTTTCTGGCTATAAGAAAATTCAAATGAACTGAAAAAAGGGTTAGACCAGCCATTCAATTATACATTCTAGTTGAAAAACCTCGTAGTATTTGTTTATTTATTACACCGCTAAATAATGTAAGACCCGTTAGCTTGTACTATTTATCATGGTCTGTGTTAGAATTCGTTAAAAAAACATGTGTATGACTGTGGATAATGGTAATAATAATGACGTGGAGTGGAACGGCTAAATTATTCCGTTAAATTAGCCAAGCGCGCAACATATTGCTCTGTGAAACCCCCCCCCCCTTCGAAACACTTTTCCCCAGGGGATCGTAAAAACACCTCGCTTATCAGATAAACACCATCGTCTATTAATTCAGAGAATTCCGCTCCCTCAGTTCTTTCCTTAAAAAGCACCTACTTTCAGTGGCATTGTTGAATGGAAGTTATGCGAGGCAAGAGAGAATGGGCTCTAAATGGAAAAGCTACTCAGTATGCAGCGTTTCGTCAATCTAAAAGTTTCTCTTTTGAATGTAAATTTTTTCCCAGTACTTTAGTGAAACCTAAATTGTATGATCTCATGCATCAATTTGTTCGCTTTATTTATTACGGATTCCATATAGAACCAGTAGTGTCGTGTCAGGTTTAGGCATACTGTGGAAGAATGGAGATGAAATGTAGATCGCCAGCCTTCCTCTTAATTCCGGTTCATGTTTTCTTCGGCCATTAAACAGATCAGAATTGTTTTATAGAATTCTTTCTTGCAAAAATTCATTTGAGGACAAACTCCCTTTCTTGTGGAAGACTTTGGATGTTTTTTTAAGTAGAAAAATCCTCAAAGGTAAGCATCCACAGGACTTGCTATTAATAATATTTTAGTACCAATAGGATTGTAGCGGATTGCTACGCTAGTAAAGCCTGACCAACTCAGAAATCTCTATGGCAGTTTCTCCAACATCTACCTAGACTCCCAGAACAAGCTAAGCTATAGCCCAGCTATAAAGGAAACAGACGTGTAGCACGGAGCACGTTTATTCAGTGAGTATATTGTGGATAAAGTGTACACGCAAGGAGCTACTCATGATCAGGATGGGGGATTAGGTTAAACAGAGGTTGATGATTGGTCACTGTACGATCACTGCACACAGAGTTGTACGGCGCACCTCCCAATCCTGGCGAGCAGACATGCAGGCATACGATGACGCACAAAGTGATAACGTGTCCCACAGGATCGAAAGAACTCCACGTAGATGGCTGCCATTTTCCTCATATCTCCTTCTGGCTAATGTCATGTTGAAAATTTGACGATTTAGGAAAGAGATAAAAAGTTCTCCTTTTATAGAGAAAAACAAAAGGGAAAACATATTAAACTATTGATTTTGTCAAATGAAATTATTCAATAATCGCAAGTTGCCTTTCATTTTGAACTAGCACTCTCTAATGCGCCCTGGTAAGTTGAAATACCATCCATTTCATATAGGCTGTTTTAAAATATGCAAAACACCCTGTTTACTCAAACTTTAAAGCGACAAGACTACCCACCACAATTGAATAACCAGTTACTTAGCGCTGAATCTCAACCACTAATTTAGTAAGTATGGGCAAATCGTTACCATAAATAAAGTGAAACAAGAAATTGATGTTTGGTTTCTCTCAACATCTTTTGAACGCACCTTTTTCACTAATTTATCACTCATTAATCTCTTTATTTTGTGGTTTCAGTTGTCCTCAAGATGAAAAATTTAAAATTTTTGTGAAAATCTACATTCTAAAAGTCGTGATACTCCCTTTCCACCTCGCTTCTTAACTTCGAACTTTAAATAGTGTTTTTTTTTAATAAATGGTTTTTCGAATATTATATTTTGGAGGTGTTTTGTGTGGTGTCTATAAAATCTCGGAAATATAACATCAGTTTCTTTCCTTAATCAGTGACAGGTGAAATTTTTTTAAATTCGTTGGCGTTTAAAACAAAATATTATGAACTTGAAGAGGCATGAGATTAGTCGCTATTTTTCTCGCACCTAGGAGAAGTCAAGAGGCTTAAATTTAAGTGCGTCATTTTGATCCATTCCTGATTGGTCATATTTCATCTACTCTTCTCCCACTTACTCCTCAACTAAACGTCTCAAACTATTGGAAAAATCGTTGCAATTGGACTGGAATGAAAATGGCTTGTTACAAAAATACAAGTTAATCTTTATTGGAGCGGGGTTACAATTTATATAATGGCATAAGTTCAGGATCTGTTAGTTCTTGCCAATGCCATCATTTGTCACACTGTTAAGCAGTTCCCAAATTAAATTTAAAGCCAATGTTCTCGTCTTTATCTAAAAGGGTTGACACGCTAATATCCTTTCAAGATAATGCTCAAATATATATTTCGATGAAATGGAAGTTTAGCTTATGGAAATCAGACTTTTACGATTTTGCTACTCCCTTCAGTGTTTATTTAAGCAACATTCGAGGACCATCGTATAAAATCCTATGTCAACTTTGAGGGCGCCTTCATAAGTCCATTTATTTAAAGTTCTTTTCAAGAGTAAAAATTTTACTTAGTACATACAACACTTTCATATTCATGCCAAATTGGTGGATTTTTATGATTACCTTTCCTGGGTTTTGACGTACACGGCCAGATGTTTCTAAAATTGAATTCATGGAAAGATTTTCACTTAACTTCGTGAGTCCGTCTTATACAAAGGCTCACATGCGACGGAATAACATGCTAAGAAAATGGTTATATGCCTGATCCCTTTTTACTGGTCAGTATATTTACACCAGTATTTTGTATCGTGTTTTGTGTATCCCATGTCTGGGAACTGGGTACTTTAGCTCCTTTTTGGCTGTTGCACCTACGCGAATGCGATCCCTCCGAAAATTCAGAAGCGCCGTCTAGATAAACTTTATTGGAAATATCTTATTAACTATTCTTAAAATTTGCCTTCTTTTTCAAAATGCCCTTACTTTAGGGGTTGTTGCGTTACGTGGTTTTGAGAAAAATTTACCTTTGTTGTGATTTACTGTTGTTACTGAGATCCGGGATGTTTTCTATTTTAAGTACTAGCGTTGCCTATAAGACATTACTTTAAATATTCTTTTCTTCTTACCCAGTTCATCCCTTGTATTGAGTTTTTACTGAAATTAAAATTGACAAACTGAAATTCTAACTTGAGTACTGCAAGTCTGAAGATTTTTTTGAGACTGCATTTTATCCGTGATCATATCCGCCACTGTGAAATAAAAACACCCCCTCGAATCACAGTATATTGCAAACGCAAAATACACTGCAATTCAGTGTTGACTATTGCAAATGTGTCATACTGTAAAGTGCATTATCTGTTAAATTTTTAGTATATTTTCCTTATCTTCCCTTTCCAGAATTTCCGCGAGACCTTCGCCGAGGAATGCAAGGAATCTCTTGAGGTGGACGCAGTTCTCTCTAAACTCTTCACTCTCATCGACCCTCTACGCACACAATCCATTGATTTTCTGCGCGAGCTTGAGTCCCGTTTCCTTGCCTGGTCCTCACGTCTGGAGAATGCATCTCGACATCGACATGTCTCCTGTTCCTCCTCAACTGCACCCACTTCTGCTTCCGCAGCCTCCACAGCTGGATCTGCTGCTGGATCAACGGGTTCGGGCTCGGGTTCGTCAGCAGATGTAAGGGGAGGTGGAGATGCGTCTATTTCTCCCACAGCTCAGGTCAGGATTGGCGACCTCTTTGTCACTAATCTCAAAATGCTCCAGGTGAATCTCTTGGAAATTTCTCCATTATTTAAATTTGATACTCATTGCGAGATATTTACTCTTTGACAGAATGTGAACTAAATTGACTTTAAATTTACACAGCTACATATTTCTTGATCTCTGATATATAGAGAACCAAGGCGAAAGGTGATAAAACAGTGAGAATATGTCCTTTCTATATGAAAATGCGAAGGCAAAAATGCAATGAAATTAAGTTATCTAAGATCAAATTTTGTTTTACTTTTAAAAATGGCACTTTTAAACTTTCTCGAAGGACTTCAGCTTGAGATTTCGTCAAATTAAAAATTAATTAAGGAGAGATAGAAGGTTGAACTCTTTATGCGCTGGAATTGTCCGGAGTCAGCAGGAGGGTTTTGTGTTTGGGTAAGTGCAATGCCGATGAGTCAGTAAAGCGTGGGGGGTGGGGTGGGGGGTGGGGGGAATTACTGACACTTTGGACTGCGTCTACCTGCTGCAGCTTGCAGGGGCTCACAAACGCACTAATTAAATGAAAATTTGCACACCAAAGGGATTGGCGATTGAAATGCAACTCTTATGCTCCTATCTTATTAATGGCATTCCTTGAAATTACTACAACTTCATGTAATTGTAACAAAGATTTCGTTAAGCCAGAATGGTGTACAGCAGCTGATGCAATCTAGGATGGTTCTCTGCTGTTTTTAAGTGCCAACTACGATTACACTGGAGCCACGAATGTTCAGCCTCAAGTGGAATAACTCATAGGACTCATAGCTCAATCTCTTAAGTACTTCTCAACAAGATTGACCTTCTGATTGGTCGATAATTACAAGATTCAATTTCAATTTAAAAACAAGTAACTCTGTGCGGTTTTCAAGCAGTCTTTCAGTACTTATCGTCATGGGTAAATAGAGGATAATCCGACTAGCATGCAACGAGTGATTTTTAATATCCGAATGTGTATTATTGTAGGGTTTAAACTCTAATTTTCGACCTTTAAACAGCATCAAAATTCACAAAATTCTGTTTTGTTGTTAATTACTTTTAGTGGCTGGATCAAAGTAAGGCTTTTTAAAAATTTTTTACGACGCAGCCTTCAAATACGCAAGAGATGCTCAAGGAGGAAAGGCATACAAAGGTAAATAAGCAAACTGTTTTAGGTGGTCGTATGATTTTACAAGACGGTGGCTACTTCGTGGCTACTTGAAGATACAAATGACGCCTTACTGACCATTCAACAAAATCTACTGGTCAAAAAGCTGTCGGTATCGTGAGTAAAAGAAAGTGACCAACTCACAACACTTCTGGTTTTCAAACCAAGTTCGACTTGCTACTATTAGTGTTATTGTCTCGTCTATTACACCTCGCGTTTAATTAATGCCAATATTAATTGGCATATTTCTAGTGTTCTGTTGCAACGCCATGATTAAATGCTTAAAGTGACTTTTGTATTGCCAAGGCTAATACAAATTTGGCAAGCAACGCTTTGTTAAAGATGAGAAGAAATTTGAGAACAAACTGAAAATGTATTTGCGTAATGTCAATACCCCTGATTTGACCTACCGATTCATTTGCAAGTTGATTCGTGCAACCCACTGAGGGAAAATTGAATTCACGTCCAACTCAAGATCATCTCAAAAGTTATCGTGATGGTGGTGGTGGATCTTAATACCTTGTTTAGGGCCATTTCCTGGAAGTTTCTAAGCGCTTTCTGTTTCATGAGTTCACTTTCGTTCCGTATCATTTCTTTTCCACAATTCACTCCTTTTGATCAAATATTAATATTTAATGGCTGTTTTACATTGTTTTTCTGCGAACTTTTCTAATCTAATTCAGATTGTGCTCGATCTTTTCAGCTCTACCGTTCCTACCTTCGAGAAAACGAGAGCCTTATAGCCGAAATAGAGCGTCTTAATCGGAATCGGCCTACCTTCCAATCAAAAATGCAATATTTCGAATCCCAGAAGTCTAGCTATCTGCCCTTCTATGCTTTCCTCCTCAAACCCATGCACTGTCTTCTCCAGTATCGTTCAGTTCTCGAACGACTCATGCGGCATTACAGCGAGTCTAATCTCGATATGCAAGACTGCCGAGGTTCGTTCCTTTTATTGCATACTCCTATTGAATACAATTAGATAAATACATAAGAGTAGAAGAAGGTGTAATTTAATGTACGAGGAGCATTTTTGTAAAAAAGGTGCAAGAGATAGTACATGAAGTCCACTAAAAGCGTTGAGCGTCAACTTGCGTGCTTATATGTTTGTCCTTGCCGGTTTCGATGACACGACTTGAAATAATTTTGAGGGAGAAATTATCATTTACACATCTTCACTTTCTTCCATTCTAAATAGTCGTGTGAAATTTATTTTAGTTGCTCACGCGCGTCTCCTAGACACAATCCAATCTCAATGGGACGGTTACAAGCGCTGCGAGAATTTCTATAAGTCCCTCGAAGTAGAGCGGGATCTCGTCGGGATTCAACAGATCTCCTTCAACGAGACTGGAGACGAGAAGGGCTGGTTGGCCTCTCGAAATCGCCAATTCATTCGAGAGGGTCTCCTTCAAAAACTCTCCAAAAAGGGCTACCAACAGCGCATGTTCTTCCTCTTCTCTGATCAACTCATATACGCTAGCAGAACAAACTCTTCCTATCTCCAGTTCAAGGTAAGGTATCTCTTAAGTAATAAATACATAGAATGCAAAAATTACAATGAAATATTTATTGAATGTTGACACTGATCGAAGTAAGTCATGCCAATGGTATAAGTGAACAATGTGGAGTTAATTGGGAGTGCCATTCTAATTTATCGAATAATAGTTAGATGACAACATTGTTAACTAAACAGCCTATGAGAGTAGATACATTGGGTGCCGTCAGCCAAGTCCACTCTATGTTTTCACTAGGAAATTGACTGTTTGAGGTAAACTATCACTAGGTGGGTTCCTGATCCCCTTCCCATCTCCAATTTTCACGTATTATCGTCATTCTCTTCATACCCTTTATTTAGCTCTTTATGTCAAAATGCTGTGTCTTTTAACTTTCATCACTAATGCAATTACTGAAGAGGAGAAATGAAGAATTTGGAGATTTTGCAATCACAACTCCTTTTTCTTCAACACCCTCGTATATTTTGCTGGAATGAAATACGGGTCTCAAGATTTAAAGCTGCAAGGAGAAAGAGGAATATTGATTGAATGAGAATTTTGTGGAACACAAAGAGGGAGATATTAATAAAGAGGACAAATGAGTTAGCAGAATTCAACCGCATAGAATTGGAGATAAGAGCTGAGGTAGGGATCGGTTCAAACAAGATTTAGAGTTAAAGTTGCTGCCTGAGTAACTATAAGTTAATGAAGTGAAATAGGTTTCTGACAAATAGGGATTTTGTGTCAAATTTCATCTAGTTTCTTTAGAATTAATAGATATGCCGGTATTCTTAGGCCAATAAGCTTTCGCCGATTGATAGGGAAACGCATCAACTCTAACTGAATTTTGTTGATCAATTGTATCAAAACTATGAAAATCTAATGCGACTTCAATTTCTCTTTTAGATTTCAAATTCATACATTTCAACACAAATGAATATTATTAGTTAAATATGGGCTGATCATTTTCGGGTCTTTTGACATTCAGTGCGCTTTCAACTTATTGTAATTCGAACACTTCTTCCGATTTGATCTGTAAAACCTTTGTTTTTTGGTGTTTGTGCATTAGTTGTGTAGCCCTGATCAGACAAATGATCTAATTCGGCGCAATTGCTTTCGATTCAGATAATTTGGAGATAGTGATTGTCCTAAAAGTACTTAATCCCAAAGAAACTCGCTTATATTAGCGTATCAATTTTCCCAAACTCGTATTAATTTTTAGAAAGCCTTTAAAGGCCTTTCAATGATAAGTCACTTGCCATATTGCTAGGTGACCAGATATTCCATTTTGATTCCACTCTTTTGAATGAATTTTCCTTTCTGCATCAAATTGGTAGATCCATGTTTCATCTCCTGTAACGCAGCGCTTAAAAATATTTTCCTCATTTGCTTCCATCTTTGTCAAAGTTCCTAAAGGAAGTTCAGCTCTTTTGATCAGTTGGTTTTCCTGCAACGCTTTTGGAACCCATCGTACCCACCAATGCCTTGTTCAGGCCAAGATTTTCTGTGTGAATTGAAAATTCTGATCCGCATGCGATTCCCACTTCATTGGCACTCTCCTCAATGGTAATTCATTGATCTGCATAAGAGATGTGTTTTCATGCTGTTGTGAGTCCCCCTCCTCATGGGTCGCCATCAAGTTGCACTCTTCCCCCCCCCCCTTCCCTCCTTTAATATGTTTGATTCAATCGCAAATGACTACCCTACATGGTACAGAGTTCCCATTAACCTATTATAGATCTTCTATGATCAGAAAATATTTCAAATTTAGTTCTGGTAAAAATTTTATGTTAGCTTTGATCTCAAAATTTGCCATTGAAGTGTTTAAAATTGGTAGCTATTCTGAGACACAACCTATCCTGATCCTGACTATATATATATATAAACCTTTTAAATCTTTGTTCCATTTAAAGTTAGGGTATTTGTCAACGAACTCTTTGACTTGTCCTTTTATTTCAGAAACTGGCAAAATTATGGCTGACTGGGAGTGTAATGGGAGTGACATCCGAATTTCGTGATTCTTGTTGTATTTAAATTCTGGTTGCTGTTAGTCCCCCCTGTCTTCTCAAAAGGGAAATATAGCTGAAAGTTTTAAGCTAAATTTTGAAGATGTGTTCCCTAAATTTCCGTGTGAGTTCCTATCCACAACAGTTAGAGCTTGTTGGTCATTTTGTTGTCTGTTTTGCCACTTGGATTAATTTGAAACTCGAAGCCATGAACGAGTTCACGAGACTGACATGTTCATTTCAAACGCAGCAGAGGACTTGCTACCTACACCACTGTTGTCTCTCGAGATAATTAATGCACTTATTTAGAATTGGATATGGGCTAAATGATTGGCTGAATGGTACTGATCAGTACTGACAGCAATGGCTTCTTCACAAGTGGCCTTGTTTAATCAAGTCTAAGCGTAGAAGTCCAAAATCGATGCATCAGTACATGAACAGTCACCTAACGAGTGCATTCTTAGTGTACTCGATAAAACTCACTAAAGGTATTCGATTTTTTCTCTAAGCGATTTGGGGATCTCCTTTTATAAAGAATTTGAAGCTTTAAGTGTAACCAATTAACCTATCGCCCTATAGGTCTTTTAAATCCTCAAGTGGAAAATTCAAATTTTTTAGTTGTTTCTACCATTTCATCCTCTAATGGTCTTAGTTGACTAACTAATATCAAGATTATGAGGAATAACATTTGAAATAATAACGGAAAGCGATTTCAGAAACGTTGCCTTCAATAGAAACGGAGGAGTCTGCGAGAATATGCGTCCAAATAATGACAACAGCAAATACCTTTAACATCACTCCTGTTGTTGCCTAGACATTAGACTAGACAGTTCAGCCAAATAGATGGGAGGGGGGTGGATATTTTGATATTTTGGAAGGGAGTGACAGACATTGACTGTAGTTCATAAACCACATTGATTTGTGTTTGTTTATATTATTTTACAATTTGACATTTTCCTATTCTCCGACACAGCAAGGGTGGAACATTGTAGCGTGCGCCTTGTGATCACATCTAATGGGAGAGAGAGATTTGAAGTTGCAGAGCCCAAAGTTGTCAATAATTTTAAAGTGAGAGAGAGTGTGTGTGTGTAGCCATAAGGTTTGTGCCGAACTATCACCCTCCTACGTTATTACTATTGCTTATTACCTATTACTTTCTGCCTGAAGAACTTCCTAATACACAAAAAGAAAGTCCGGAGTATTGGGGGAGGGGGGGGGGAGAACTTCAAGAACTCTGTCTTTAGGCTTTAGGATGAATAAACAAGGGTCAGATGACGACAGGCGCCAGATCAACTAGGCCACATCTGGTGCGGGTTTGAGTTTTTCTTAGTTAAAGCAACTTGATCAAGTTCAAGCTACTAGAAACATAGAGGCCCAGGTGGCGAACTGAATATCAAATTTGGACTAACTCAAGATAAAATTATTTATAAACTGAAAAATCACCGTAATTTATGATGTATAGGTTTTTAATTCGGAAAAGATTTGACTAAATTATTCATAATAAAAAGTAATTCAGCTGCTTACATGGTCGTTATTCCCTTTCCAGGTGCATGGCCAATTCCCACTACAGGACCTGATGGTAGAAGAGGCTGAATCGACAATGAGTTTTACGGTGTACTCGGGGAATCGTTGCTTTATTGTGGCAGCACCATCTGAATGGCAACGTGACCGGTGGCTGGAGGACATTTCTCGCGCCATTCTCGCTGCCAAGACAACCGCATCCCTTCCTCCACCTCCTCCCGCTTCTGCTGCCTCAGCCCTTCTTGGTGGTCTCTCAACGAATTCTACCATCCTTGATGAAGACGACGACGCTAAGTCAGAACGATCTGGTGAGTCATTCTGAATTACTCAGTCTTCTTCATTTCTTTTTAGGGATGTATGAGAAGGCCAGTCTTTTATTTCTTGTAACTACTGGTCTTTACCACTAGACAAGGTGTCTTGGCTTTTATGACAAAGTCGGTAAACTCTTAGGCCTAAACGGTTGGCTCGTTGGTGAGCCATTGAGAAATGGCTCGATTGTACTATTACCTATGCCAATGGAAAATTTAAATTGGAAAATAGTCTCAGAAATAACGAAATAAGAACGTTTAATGTAGGTGTCAGCATGGAATAGGTATAAATGTATTTGAGCTCAGGAAACCTTGAGGCGTCAACTTTCAAATCGTGTAATGCCCGAATGCCCTAATTTTTCTCTTTGGATTATTTGCGTTTACGAGATCCTGAGCCTGTTGGTTAGTCGACTTTCTATCGTGCCACGTTGCTGCATTTTCATCTTAAAACAATAGACAGGATGATAAGATTGCCAAAAGCAATTAAAACGTAGGAAGGTTCATCACATCCGTTCATGGTGAAGTGGGAGGTATATATTCGTTGGATAATGGACAGGTGAAATGACATCTACAATATTGGTCATAGCATTTTATGTAAGTCATTCCATCAATATTTCTGTTCAGCGTTAACTTCGTCCAACGGCTGAATAAGAATGAAAGCGTCATCGGCAAATTACGCGCTTTTTCAACTCTTCTCTTCTGAATAAACTGAAACTGACTGAGATGATCGAATGAAATTCCCAAAAGTCATTTGAGGTCGACATCTTGATGGTTTATTGGCCCTGTTTGGGAAATAATTTTGCTCCAGAAAACGAGTATGAATATTTTTTCTCTTCGCCGCATGGATTTGAAACATGAAAAGGTGACTTCTGATTACGTTCAAGGTCTCATTTTGTATCACTTTTCCTGGTCTCAATATATAAATACGTTTGGAAGTCGTTACACGGAGCGATCTCAAATAGGTTGAACCGAGTTCAAGTTGTTGACTTCCTTATAAAGACAGACTTCAAGAATTACTTATTTACATTGTTACCATCTGAAACGTCAATGTACTAGCTTCTCCTCGCCGCCATTCAATAAATATCAATAAGTATCTCTTTTAATCATATATTTAAATATGTTGCTCCACTTGAATTCTCAATTTCATTCGGAAGCCAACAAGGAGCCATGAACGTTTGAAGTGATTAAAAATGTGTTTTCCTAGCCTTTACGATTAAAGTGTCGGATAAGTATTTCAAAAGGATAATTCGCTCTTGAATATCTCTCCAATATATCTATAAAGTAGGCTTGAGTTTTATTTAAACATCACAAATGAACCTTCAATTATATTTTTTCCTTTATTGTGACTGTGACTAATCAGCTGAAGTAAAGTACTAGTCTGGAGACACCTTTACTTTTGAAAACGAGCAAATTTAATTGAAATTAAAATTGCCACTGCCAAGTCCAAAATTAAAGCTTAACAGAAAATACTGCTTAAGTTCCTTCTTTGAGTTCTATTTCCACTTTTTTTGTTCTAGAGGTTTCAAATAGTCAATCTTCTAATCATGACACAGGAAAAATTCTTCACAGAGCGACAACCAGTGTGCATGTCTGTTGGCACAGAAGTTCCACTTTCTCAATGTCCGATATTCTTCGAGCTAATGAGGTATGACCTTTTTAAAACTTTGTATATCCACTTAGAACAGCCCCATTTGCCTCAATCGATGCTTTATCTATTTCCTATTTCTTTTAAGTATCAAACGAGTGGTTATCTACTCCGAAAATTCAAGAACAGCAACGGGTGGCAGAAGCTTTGGGTGGTTTTCACTCAGCTCTGTCTTTTCTTCCACAAGAGCTATCAAGATGCCTTCCCACTGGCTAGTCTGCCTCTTCTTGGCTACAACATAACCATCCCATCTCCAGAAGACAACATCCGGAAGGAATTTGTCTTCAAACTCCAATTCAAAAATCATGTCTACTTCTTCCGTGATGACAGCCAAACATCTTTCGAAAGGTAATATTTCCCACTTACTTAAACCACTTTTAAAAAAACTATTCAAAATGGCAAAAAAATTCTTACTCAGTGTTTTACTATTTTAGGTGGTTTGATTGCCTGAGTAGTGCTGCCGGAACGAGCTCCCGACAGCGATTGATTAGTTCGCGTCACAACGTCACATCGACGACAACGTCAGCTACCTCTACTGCTGACGTTTCGACCTCCATTGATAAAAACAGAAGGTGATGGTTTTGGAGATTAAATGGCATTAGTTGTGATCTGCAGTAATTCAATTCAGTTTTACAATTATCTTTCTTTATTTCTCCCTGTCTTGTTCTTGGCTTGGCCTTTTACCTCCTCCTCCGATTCCTCCTCCACTTCTGTCTCTTCTTTTTCTCGCTGATTTTGTCAATCATCATTGTAAATTATGAAGAAACCTGAATTACTAGAAAGATATTATCTGCTGAAGAATATTGGCTATGGTCTTTTTGGAAATTACCGAATGTGTCTCCTTTGAAAAAAAGTTTATAGACCATTGGACCTTTTAAGGAAAGCGTTAAAAATATGTTAGATCCTGTTCGACTTGTTAGTCTTTATTTCTGAGGCCATTTGCAGAGATAATAATAAGATGCCCTTCTCGTTTGAATAAATTACTCGGAATGTAATTTAAAGTCGAGATCAGAAAATGGCAATTAAAATTCAAGTATTTCTAGAAACCATTATTGATTGTTGATTAAATTTTTAAATTAAAAAAGGGGGAAATGCTTGCAAAGGATCCATATTTTAGAAATAGAAAATGGTGCTATGCAAAACTTATTGCTTTGGGTGCGAATTTACTTCTGTTGATTGCGGCGTTTAATAAATATAATCTCTACTGGTAAATATTTAGTAGAGCATATTTATAGAGATTATGGGATAATTGCCCATCGATTTGTTACATTTTTTAATTATATAACCCAAATCTTTGAAAATATCAATTTTTATCATGAAGATAAAAAATGTTGATTATCAAGAAGATAAAATGAGAAAATTTTGGGTCCGGAATATCATTGTGAATGATGAGCATTAGATGGAAAATTATGTTCCTCCAATAAAATTCTCCATCCGCTTGTTGGGTTTATATTATGAATGCTAATTTTCTCAGTTAAACTGTCAAATTAATACCCAAAAAGTAATTTACTTTGTCAAATGGCAACTACTCAAGCAATAAATGCCTGTCTCATAAGCTCGTCTCACTATATTCTCCTATCCAAATTCCTAAATACGGTAAAAGGCGAATATTTTCTCTTAGAATATTCTATTTAAATGAGTTCGAAAAGAACAAAGAAGAATGATTAGGTTTTCTCTTACTTGCACCCACGTTCATTGAGATTTCATCAAATTTATTCATAGGCCCTCTGTGTCATTTCATCAAAAGTGTCAGACTCTTTTATATTCATCTAGGACCTTAGTGTTAACAGCAAAAGACCTGCGATTGTTATGGGATTTTTGCCCTACTTCCACCATCTGTCCAACAGACGACTCTGCCATCTTTTTTCGCCAAAAAATTTCTCATTAGGTGGCTGTAGTCTCACAACTTCTTCGCTAAAATGTAATAGCAGAAACGACACCAAAGTGATATATACGATACCAGAAGTATCGATTAAGCGTAATGCCTCTGTAACCAAAACCATTGGGCAGCATATGAATGATTACATATGCCCAACCTTGATACTGAGACTTGGAAACCTGCACCTCTTCAGAATTACCGCCATAGTTGATTATTTCTATCAGTCGCTTGGGTCATTTTGAAAATATTTTGTTCTTTTTGTTCACCTAAGTATTGCAAAATAATTTAATTTCTTTATAAAATGGGGCTTTAACATGTTTATTCTTACAGAACAGTCACATATGAGCCGAACTAGATCCATTTAAACCAAGTTAGAGTAAATTCAGAATGTTGATTTAGTGTAGACACCGTTTAATTCGAACTCTCGCACCCAAATGACACATCTTCAATCAATTCACCCAAGTAAACTTAACTATTTTCACGCAAAGTAGGAAGCCGATTATTTTAGTCAAAATCCACCTTTTGTAACTCGGCATTAATATTGCTTGTAACCATCGACGTTCGATTAAGCCTGGCTAAATTACCCGGTTGCACTCTGCTTCAAAGAAGCGCTATTCGCAAAAGAGATATACAGCTATTAATGCTCCACTTAATGTTGAAAGTTGAAAAATGAGAATTTGTTACAATACCCAGAGGCCTATTGAGATTAGATCAGCCATATAAACAAGCACTTCTCGCCATGAATTTTCGAGGAAAAGTTTAATTGAATTTTTATCTTTGGAAGGATTTTTGTTATGTGGTCTGTTCTTTAGAGTTCACTTAGACTACCCTAGAGATTGTTATGGGAACCTCAGTAACTAACTGATCAATAGGACAACCATTGGTGACTTCTCCCCTCCTCCCCTCCTCCCCTCCTCCCCTCCCCCCACCCCCCACAACTCAAAGTCATAGAAGCTGCCTCACTGCGGCCGTAACGCCAGTTTAGACCCGCTTGTTCTATTGACAAGATGGCAAGTAACCCATTGGGGTTAAGAGCGAAAATGAGCTCACCAACTAGAAACAATAGAATATGTACACTATAAGGGGTCTAAGGTAAGAATGAATGGGAATCGGTCTAAAACCAGTTGCTGCCATTTAGTAGCACGGTGCAATGAAAATTGATTAGGGAGTAATAGATGCATTAAATTTTACTCTGATTTATCTAATATTTTTACGACCTAGTTGTAAGTTCTGCTATGCTTAAATCATATCAACTATTTTCGATCAGCTATTGTTTTGTCCTATTGGAAGACAAAAAGGTACTTGAGATTAACAGTCAATAGATAAATTAATTTAAGTTGGAAACATGCAGCAAGTCTTAAGTCTTGAACATAAGGAAATTAGAACAAGAATTAAGAGACACAGGGCGCATAACCTAAATCCCAAGTTCAAAATTTGTACAACACTTAAATTGAAAGGCTTTCCCATTACGATAACTGTAATGTTCTCGTTGAATTAGAAATTAAATTAGTAAATAAATGAATCAGTACAAATATCTGCAAAGTCATGATGTAGGCAGGTTAATTAAGAGCAATGAGAGTGTCGACTGGAAGAGTTTATAGACAACAGATATTAATAAACATTATTATTTTTATTATTTCAAATGGCAGACTTTATGATACTTTTCATTAGCCCTTAAACTTTGACTTTAGCTTCCCCCATGGGTGGGGGGTACATATATAGCAGTTAATTAATAGAAATTCATTAGCTGTCTTCTTGCTTCCCAGTATCTCTGGCTTTCCGTCGTTGTCTTTAGGGCTGGACACCGAATCAGGTGGGTCTTCTCCATTTCCTCCTGAAGGTTGCATAGGGGGCAAGAGGGTTGAGTGCATACTCCCAATCTGTGAAGGTGTTTTACCAAGCAATCGTGTCCGGTACGTAGTCTAAACTCAGCAACGGCTTCGATTCTTGGCCAGTCGGGTATGTCGGAGAGTGCCACTGTCCACTGTTTCTCCTTTGTTCGAGCTTTGAGTTCGTTGTACCTTGAGGTCTGGAATTCTCTCCTGATTAAGGCCTTCATTGTGTGGAAAGACATGGGCCGGTCCATGCATTGCAAAATTGTTGTCCCCTTCTTAGCAAGTGTGTCAGCAATCTCATTGCCTTTAATGCCACAGTGACCAGGAATCCATTGTAGGACCACTGTTTTGTCTTCCTCTCTCAGCAGCTCATAGAGTTTTCTACATTCCTTTATCTCAACTGTTTTGGGTGTCTCTCTGTTTCCAATTGAGTTTATTGCTGACTGTGAGTCCGAAAGTATCACCACTTTGGTGAATTTCGTATCCAGGCAACATAATTGGCATAGTGCTATCCTAATAGCCTCTATTTCTCCTTCGAAAGCGGATCTATTGTGTCCCGCTGCTGCGTAGAAAAAGAAGAGTTCAGAAAAGACACCTGCACCAATATTTGCTTGGTTTTCTATGTATGACCCATCAGTGAAGACTTGGAGTCATTGATCTGCAGGATAGTTGACATTGATTGTCTCAAGGGCCAGTGAGCGCATTTGCTCTGGAGGAGTGTTTGATTTCCTGAAGAAGTCGAGCAGTTGGGTGCGACACACTACATCAATGTCTGCTAATGGGTTCATGGAGATAGAGAGGCTTTTTGGTTGATCA